TGCAATATTGCTGTTTTAAAATATATTGTAAAGCATAAAAATTGTTATATAAATCCTATAAAAATTTAGATATCTAATAAATGAGATGGTTTAGATAAGACATAGAGGTTACTGTTTTTAATAATATTCACAAGCTAATATTAATTAAATATTTTACTGCGATAATTTAATATTATGATATCATAAAATTTCCGCGAAAAAGAAACTTATTCAATTATTTGCATCAAAACAATCTCGATGTGAAATATATAAATTAAATTATATGTTAACGTCATTAATCAGCGGATGTGTTCTAAAACCTATTTCAATTCTAATCTTTATTTAACATCCGTTCACGATAATTGTACTGCGTCGCACGCGAAATGTGCTTCTTTCCTCATTCTATTCTATTCATCTTGAATGTCTTAATAAGCAATTGCGGAAGTAACTCGCAGCAGACGCGCGTAATTTACACGCGCATTTATATAGTGCGACATACTTTAGAACGGAATTAAAGGCTTACCAGTCATGTCTTTGCCCTTTGCAGCTCTCGTGGCGTCTGGCTGGCATGGTCCAGACATCGAGGCGCCTGGAAGCCTTGAAGATCTTGAACGGCGTGACCACGGCCCAGACGACGGAGGCTTCTCCGGAGCTCGAGGAATGCATTAAAAGGCAGTTGGCCACTTCCGGGATACAGACCGGTTCTCGTGAGGTCGCCGAGCAGGTGGTCAGCCAGTTGGAGAGGACACTGTACGACTTTCCATGTCTGCGTGGATGCGCCGAGGTCAAGAGTTACGCCACCGCGTGTTCCACTTTGGCCTGGGCGTGCCTGGCACGTTCCACGCCGCTGGTACTCGATGTAGCGCAAAGTCTGGAGTTCCGCAGAGAGGTGCAAGTGAGACATCATGCTTCTCCGGATCCGCACGGGACAAGGATCAGATCAGTCTTATGGCCAGGGCTTCGGGAAGGCTGCCAAGGTCCCTGTCTTCACAGAGCTATCGTGCTAACTTGCTGAAGCACTGCGATTTTTCTATAAAAAAGGAGTAAAAGCGAATGCAGAGCTATCCTTGAAAAACATGTTTATGATGCGAAAATATTTTTCATATACATGAAATTTTTTTCAGTACATACAGGGAGGTCACTGAATTGATCGGACTTATGAGGTAAACAGAATTAATAATTTTCTAACAATTTAATTAAGCGTAAATTAATAATAAAATAATTATATACTTATTTAGGTAAGTCACATAAAAACTTATTTTTGTCTCGAAATGCGATATTTTAGAATATATTTTGAAAAAGTCTCAATAAAATTTACACAATACGCATAATTATAAATATAATAATATATATATATGAATAATCTGGATACGCAATTACTAATTTACGAAATATATGAACATCTCTCTGCAGAGTTTTCAGAAATGCAATTGTAATTTGACAACAAAAATAGAGAAATGTACGAGCTCGAACTTGCTAATTGAATGTACGCGACGAAAAGCAGAGACAATCCCGCGTGGGATGCTGCATCGCAGTATACTCCAATTTCATTCGCGTTTATGATATGCATTCTACACCGTTGACACTTGACGCCGCAATCGGACCTTAAATTTCAGAATCATATCTCGAGCGTGTTGCTTGTAGCTCCACTGACTGCAGAATCAAGAATTCAGGATAGTTTGACACGGTGTTGTGATGTATCGCTACATTCTTATTTATACGGGTCTTATCTATATTATATTATCATAAAGAAGAAATAAGATGAACATTGACTGTATCAATCGATATGATACTTAATTCAAAAAAGATGTGTGGAAAACAATTACATAATATTTAATAAATAAATAAGAAATGAAATATTCGTAATACTAAATAAAAAAGTGTACATTTTTGTCATATTTAATAAGAGATTAACTAAAATTAATTAAATACAATATATTAATTAAATACAATATATTTATTATTTTCTCGTGAATGATAATGTATTTTTTTATAATGTACTACAAGACAGCTTAAGTTTCTTCGATAACTGCATCTGTAAAAGTATTTATCTTTTCAATTAACAATTTTATATGAAGAGAAAATTTGATTACTTATTTTACGCTTCTCTCGAAACTTGAGCAGATTGCACAAACATATATTTATATTTGTTATAATCAAAATATGTTATAGAAAATATAAGAATATAATATTAACAGGAAATAAATTGACAGTTAAATTGTATAATGCTAAGAATTATTAACATATTGTTATTTGTATCTAAGCTAAGAGATTTTAATGCTCTATGTATGAAATTTACATTAAATTAATACTCATAATATATATAATCGACATATCTTAATCGAAAAATTCTATTTTATAGATATAACAAAACTACTGTATTGTTTTAATCGATACACATTTATATTAAAATCATGTACATTAACAATAAAAATATTTAACGTAACGTATCTCGAAATAATTGTAGGACCTCTTTAATAAGGAGAGAAAGAAAGGAGTAATATATTAATTACGAAAATTGATATGAAGGTAAAAATTCAGACAAATCAAATTTAAGCATACTTAGCATAGTTTCGTTTAAAAGGAACTATGAGGGTACTACGTAATTGAGACGAGAATTATGCTTTAAGAATTTGCTATTCCAGTCTCGTTCACATACGCATTAATAATTTTATCGTCAAATAATTTCTACATTTTTATCGATCTACATATAAATATATGAAGAAAATAATACTTTCAATTTGATATCTTATATTATCAATGATATAAATTAACATCTCTAATAATTTCAGCTGTCTCATTCAACATTCATCGTGTCCTTATATAAAAATAAGACGATTTAATTTTTTTCCCACAAAACAATAATCTCTTAGCAATTATATTTTAAATGATTACATGTTGATGTTACATGTCCAATTAGATGATCTTAAAATAAGAACGACGGCGCTTTTAAACGAATAAACGTCATCTAACTATTAAAGATTTAAATTATTAAATGTGATTAACAATCTGCAACGGTTTTGATTCAGTTTATCTAGGCCACCTATCCAACGTAGAAGTACATTCCTCGTTCTTGATGATTTAACGCTATATTTCTAGAATACGATCATAGTAAATATGAGATATGAGATTATTTCTTTACCCGTTTAAATCTCTCGAGACTTTATACTGATATCTTTTGCATCCTTTTGCACTTTCATTGCTGGAACGGTATCTTCGATATATTCTTTTCATATCAATATCGGCAAAAAGTTTTCTGTATATCTGTCCTACATTTTGTAATAACATATTAGGTGTTGGAATTAATTCGTAGCGTTTTTCAAGTGATGGGAAGTACTTTCATTAATGTATTTTTTAATGCTCATGTGAAATAAATAACATTCTTTCATTAAAAAACGCTACGAATTAATTCCAACACCTAATATGTTTTTAAAAAATATGCTGCAAAAATATAAAATATTGAAAACATGATCAAAAATTATTACTGTAACGATATAAACTATAAACATAACATGATTGATGTAATATATAATATTATAAGAAAGAATACACAATAATATATATTTAAAATCCAAAAGTTATTCCTGTTAGACAAATGAAAATTTATGGAGTTATTCGATGAAATGATCAACAAACAAGCTTATAGTTTCGAGAATTTATTATAAATCTCATAGGGGTTCCTATGTACATCTTGGGTATGCTTCTAACGCTTCTACTAATCGAACAAGTATAAAAGTATGTTCTAATTCGATTATTCGTTTAATCCTGAATAATTATTGATTTAAATTACATTTTTGTATTGATAAAAAAATTAGCAATGTAATATATAAATCACTTTTTTTGCAATATATAAAGATCGCATGTACAATTTTAGCAATTAATAACTCCGAAGATCTAAACGAATAAACTGACATAAACGACTGACATTAGAAAATCACTTTGGTCGAATTATCGTCTTTATTTTATCCTTAATTTTCATTTATATTGTATGATGAAAGGTCGAAGTGATATTTCTAGAGATATATATGTTATGTATATATATCAACAAAAATTTAATATAAAAGCAACGTAATATCATCCTTAATTGATGATAAGAATGTATCTATAGCGTATAAAAGATCTAGAACAAGAACTGACAAATAAAGCCGCATACGAAATGAGATTTTTCCAAAGATATAGTTTTTTCTTCGTTATTTCTTATTTTGCTCTTAAGATACACTGCATTAATAACATACAGTTTCGTACCTACATCTTACATCTTTAATTTTTACAGTTTCAACGGATATTAAAATTTTCGAAGAATGAGTATTCTTATACCGAATAAAAATTACATGAATAATTACATTCTCTTCAAAAATATATAGAATATATCCATATCACTTAAAAAATTATATATCGTCATATATAATATGTAATTATTGAATATTTTTAATAAGTATATGAATCGTTTATAGTAGTCAACAATATTTCATTACAGCAAAGTAGGTCATAAAAAGTTGTTATTATAAATGTAATAGTAATATTGTAACTTATTTGATAGTAATGATTTGCTATAACTAGAAAAAATATATGTAATTAATGTGTATTATAATTTCCAAAAATTTGTTTGTGACAATTCAATTTATATAGAACACAACATATTTTTAATCTCCTTATCAAATTCAACGAATTACAAATTAGAAATATAAATATTGTACTTCGTTAAGAACTAAACATGGAGATATGTCTTTCTCTTACATAATATGAATATTACATTATGTGAATAAGTGCATATGTGAAATATGAATTTCATAACGATAATACCTAATAAGATAATATGCATAATATTCAAGAAATTATTTCCAGATAAACGTCCTATTAAATAATTAATATAATTTGCGTTACAGAATTATTTTAATTTATAATCGGAATAAAATCTATTATCATAACCTATCTGAAAAAGTGACATAAAGATAATTACAAATCATAAATCGAAGGTTGTAAATTGGGAGACATGTACTGAAATTAAACAACATATTACATTTCTGTACATGGTGACTTAATTATTTTATATTATACCATATTAAATGTTGATACATTCCATAGAATCAAGTCTTTATTCATAAAATAGTCATGTTAAAAGTGTTAATAATAGTCATGATAAAATTGTACTCTCTCTTTCTCTCTTCGCCATAACGTAATTTATTTGTTCTCTTCTATGATTTTATCCCAAAATTGACATCGAAAAATTCTGCACTACAAGCAATCTACACGGTGGGAATAGGATTGAATTCTTCTAATTTAATTATCGAAAATATATATATTACATCCTAATATCGAAAAAATATTTCCGAAAATTATAGAACAAATACATGTGCTCAAGAAAACTGTAACAATAACAAAATCAGAATACAATTATTTTTAATTGATTAATTAGAAGAGAAACAATCTATTATTAAAAAATAAAATCAAACTTCCGATTGTATAATTTTTGGTATTTTTCCCGAAAATATACGATCTTTTTACTTTTTTTCTGTATAATAATACCTTTACTGTCATGATAGTTTACATGATGACACACCATTTCTTTGTACTCTCAATTGGTTCAGCCGTCATTTTATTGTCATCATTTTTTATCCCGCTAATGTCTAACTTGGTAGATTCGAATTTATAAGGTATGGCTTTTGGTGTGGATACCTGCATACTAGGTATACGCAAACCTTTCAATAGATTAATAGATGTATTAAAAATGCTACTACTTTCTTCATCTGTTTTCTGCTTTTTCGCCGAACTCCAATTTTCTGTTTCAATTCTACGTTTTCTGTCTAACGGGCTACCATTCGTAGAGAAAGTATCAGATAATAAACCAACACCATAAGGTAAGACTTTAGATTCTATTCCTTCATCCTGTGGCATAGACATAGTAGAGGTATTCACGAAAAGAGAACTATTCGGTGATATCCTGTTCTCACGCAAAGTAACATGTCGCATTCGACCGATGGAATGTCTTCCCGAAATGTTTCTCAGCGTTCTTCCAAATGACTGGTCTTTTGACAGTCGATTCGATATACCTTCCGTATTGCTTACATCGTAGAGCTTCGAATTATCCTTCAGACAATCATTGAGTCTAATTTTTACATCTTTTAACATTATAGATGAATCATAAGAAATAAATGATGGATCATTTATAGTGTCATCAATACTTTCTTTATCCTTCTGTATGTCGCTCTGAATAATAGATTCTGACGTTTCGGATAATTCTGATGTGGTAGATTCAACAATGTCGACCGAGCAACTTTCATTATTGGTTGGAGCTTCGCTTTGCGTCTCTTCTTTCTCATTTATATCATTCTTCATTTCCTCTGGTGCTGGAAGTAATTTTTCTTCCTGTTCATTGTCTTTTAGTTGTTTATCGTCTAATATTTCTTTTCCATTGCTTAAAGAAATTGTTGGTTCCGCTTCATATACCAATTTAATGTCATTTGCCTCTTGTTCTTCTTTGGTTTCAGTATCAACATCTAATAAGACTTCTTTTTCTTGAGGAATAGTTTTATTGTCCACAACAAGTACTTCCTGGATAGTTTTCGTTTGAAGCTCGCTTGAAATCTTTTCGTAAGTATGATCAATATGTTCTTTGCTCATAGCAGGTTTCTCAGTTTCAGCAGCTTTGTTGTTACCATTTTCTTCTGTAACATTTTCTTTTTGAATTGAAACATTCAATTTGACTTCAGCTTCTTCCGATTCTGGCTGCATGTCTGTACTTTTTACTTCTGGATTTTTTAATAGTATTTTGTGTTGCTTTGTTTGATGTTCAATTTTTGTTGGAGGACGAAGTTTACTCTATAACATACATTATTTTCACATTGCAGATCTAAAGTAATGCAAAACAATCTAACGAAATTAACAATTTAAAGTCACAGACTTATCATTAGTATGAGTTATCATACTACATCGTGCATTTTCATCAATTTACAATTATTATATGATTTGCATATTTAATTTATATATTATTTGTATATTATGCACATTTTTATACAATTTAATTATATTTAAAAAATATACATACAAGTCAAAATTTGATTAATTTAGCAAATAAAGATGAAATTGTTTCCATTAATGTTTAATATTTTACTATAAATAAATATTAGTAAATTAATTTAATGTATATAAAATATTTTCATATTGAATAAAATTATACTTATCAATTAATTTTATTATTTGTCTCTCGCTCATTATTTGTCGCTCACTTCTTTATATAAATTATGAAACATAAAGAAATATAAATACAAGAGTGTTATTAGATAACATAAAAAATATTCTTTATAAAATATTTAATCAACAAAAGAATCTATAAACAGTAATAATTATATCAAATAATTGAATTATATTATCAGACACATAAAATATTACTATGAATTCATACTGATAAGCCCATACCTAATCTATACCAGAAGATAACATTATCTTAATAGTAAGTTTAATACTCTTAATAAATTCTTTTTTTTGGATAAATAATAATGTCCAAACAGATAAATTATAATACTTTAACATAATACAATTCTAATAATTATAACTATAACATAATTTCTAAAAATAATTATATATTTATATATTACAGTCAAAATAATGATATTATATATTTATGTATTGTTTGAAAGCATAATAGTTTCAAAATCATAATTAAGAAAAAAAATTAAGAGAAAATTTGAAGTATGTACCTTAAAACTCTTCCCTGGTCCAGGTAGAACTCTTTTCTGTATTCCAGCCAGTTTTAGCCTAAAATAAAAATAAGATATTCACAATCAATGAAGAGATAAGCCATATTACAAATGGCCTTTGAGCAAGAAATGCTGGAGGTGATGAGAGGAACTAATTTAAAAAATTTTTTTTATGTAAGTACTAATTTAAAAAAGATAAACCAAAGTTTCTCATGTCTATCTAAGAACGAAAAATATCTGTCTTTTCTCACATGCATCGTTATATTGATATTACATTTGTCGTACAACAAAGATTTTAAGTTTATTGATTGGCTATAGGATAGAGAGATCCGACAACTTCTCTTTCTTGCAGCTAATCGACAGGCTTGAAATACTTTGTCGTACGACAAATTTAATATCAGCATTATATTGTTCTCTCTATAAAATAAACCTAAAATATTGTTCATCAATTTATTTCGTTTCAAAATATCTCAAAATAACTTTAAAGTTAAAGTTCTAGATTACCAGCAAAATTCATACTTTGCTTCAAAATTCTGTAAAGCTTATGCGATACAATTACAAAATATCATGAAGATATACTTAAAGACGACTATGATATCGATATAATCTCTCAATTCTTTAACAAACATTACAGAATACAAAGTTCCGATACCCTGTAAACAGCGGCAAGCAACTAACGAGTTCCAAGTGTTGCATCAAATACCAGTACGCAAACAATTTACTACAATCCGCAACTCTACTCTAGGTAGACCTGGAGAAAGTTGACCAGGCAGACTTAAAAAAACAAAAAAGAGAGACAAACGTACATCCCACGACTGAGAAACTCTGGTGGAACTTGCAATTCGCTGTTGCTGATTGTTTCTACAAACCTGTTCGAATTCTCGTACTCGCGCTGTCTCTCAGGCAAGCTAGATTCAGAAGCTCTCGACGGCGCGGTCGTTGCCTTAAGCCTCCGAACGTACAAATTCCTCTCATCGCCCCCAGGGGCCGCCTTCTTTGGCGTCTTACCCATGACCACGACAGCGATTTAGCGGCGTGCCTATTAGTCGCGCCCAATTAAACTCCACGCCCTTCTTTTTTTTTTGTTTTATATGATCTTACTTGATCTTACTTGCGTGAAAACGCAACAAGCCAGCGTGAGGTCCTCTACTTGGCGTACGAGAAGTTAATCTTGCTCCTACTATCGTTCACTTACACTCCTTTTCTCTTTCTCTCTTTCTCTCTCACACACACACACACAAACACACACACACTACACACGCTCTCTCTTTCTCTCTTTCTTCTATAGCAAGACTCGCTAGCTGCCTCACCGCCTCTCCTCAACCGCTCCGCTCACAAATATTAATAGTCGCCCTTTCTTACTCTCGTCGCGGCCGATTACTCGCGACGTGGACCTCGCCGTACGAATGCGGATGCCGGTATCTTGTGCACGAACGGCTCCGTCGAGTTCAAGCGGACGTATGTACTACGCAGGACGCCATATAACCGCCGACCGCAGACATGATCCGCTGAGGCTGAGATCCACACGATGGATGCGAACACGTACGCAGGCGCAAACGCGCCGTCGTGCCGGCCACTTCCTACAGATGCTTTCAAAAAAAATTCTACAACATGGCCGAAATGCGGCTCGATGGGATCTCTCCTAAGTACCTTATAGGATTTTCTTTAGGTTATACGAATCGATCAAAAAAATTATGAACGAAACAAAATTGAGGAACTGAGATTTGATTTTCTATTTATTCGTAACAAAAATGTTTGCGTAAACTCAAATCATGTCAGAGTGCGACGTTTATATTTTTTGAAAATTTATGTATCCGTATATGTAGATATCTAAATTGTATATACAAATATATATGTATGTTGTACTTTCCGTAAAGCGCATATTGCGCAAAATGTATCATTAAATCATTAGAATTTAAAGTGAAATAGATATATGTGTTTGATATTAATTGGTGAAAGAGAGGCAAGAAAGTTGTATAATGCAGGAATAAAAAAAACAGATATCTATTTTATCCTTGTTTGTTTAATATTCGATAAACAATAAAAATAAAAATGATATGTATGTGCATCGATCATGCATTTTACGGAACGCGGCCATGTATAAATATCATAAATAAGTTTTCTTTCTTGTGGTAATATATATATAGCTACAAGTTAGAAAAAAGAATTAAACTTCTGACCTGCTAGAAGCGACTGATCGTATGACATATGTACATGCATGTACATATACGTACATATATGTATATTTAATCGTTTGCCCTTGCAATTTTCTTGTATGCGTGCGGCGGAATTCGAGGAATGTCGTTGGCGTGCTAAACGTTGCAAGCTTAAGGCTGCATTTTCATGCTGACGCTCGACGCTCGATTCGAGCGTCAAACAGGTCACGTAATGCAAAATTGATGCTTGGTATTCGTCAATTTTGATCACGTGACCAGGCCGATTCTGTATCTTCAGACAAGATGAAAATTACAAAAGCGAGCAAATTTACTAGGTGTTGATCAATGAAATAATCAGTATTCTAGTAAATTCGCTCATTTTTCTAATTTTCATCTCATTTCAAGATACAGAATCGATTTTCGAATCGAACATGAAAATACAGCCTAAGGCCGGGTTCATACCTTGACAGAAAAACGGAAAGTGGAAAAGTGGAAGCTTTCCGTTTTTCCATCAAGGTGTGAACCCCGTCTAAGGGTGAAATTACACGATGCGGAAAACGATTGCGGAATAGAGAATGCGTCATAGAAGCAACCAAATAGCGTTATTCCGAATAGCGCTAATTGATTGTTTCAATGCATTCTCTATTCCGCAGTCTTTTTCCGCATCATGTGATTTCACCCTAAAACGGCATTCGCCGTGGCGCTACTGCTGCTTTTGCGCGCTCGTATATGAATGAATAATTCCATAAGGAAAGTGCTTGTAAAATAAGATGTAGTAGAAATTTCATTGGAAATAAAAACATTAGGGCTGATTCAGGGTATCAATTATGTAACTTTTTTTTGTCTAAAATGAAAATGTGAAATTGCAACACATTTTTTTTCAATGAGTTTTAGAATGCAGCTTGCTCACCGAGCAATTGATTATTACTTATTGTTTCATAAGTAAAAACTGATTGCTCGGTGAATATAGATTGTGTGTGTGCATTCTAAAATCCACTTTAAAAAAAAGTGTTGGAACTTTTTTATATAGTTGCTAACTGAGAATTGCGCAAATATAGAAATATATTTGTTGTATTATTATACTTGAAGTTCTATATAGCAAACTTTTTAAGAAAAATATTAATATAGCAGTACAAATTTACTAAATTCTTTATTCATTATATTGTATTTGTTGTTGGATACTAAATGTATTATGATAATAATTATTACGCTCACTTATGTATATAAATAAAATGGAAAACGATATTAAATTTTTTTGTGTATATGCAGCATTGGAAAATGGATTCAACGAAATTGTATCTAAATTAATCTTGCAAACTGTCGAATGAGCATAACGCTTATTATCATGATGTGAATAATTACGTTATATTCTCTCTCTCTCTCTCTATTTATAATATCTTGATTTGAAGAATTTAATTTATTATAATCAATATGTATATTTTTATATTTACAAAATGTTTAATTAATGATCCACAAATTATAATATTTTTATTATACTTTTTAAAGAAATTTAATACCTACGTGATTTAGTACTGTTATTTAGTACGGACTCGCACCACATCTTTCTTCGACACAGTGATTTTATCGCCAAAATACATGGCTACATAGTTCCTAAATAAAAGTGGATGTACTTGCGCTAGTATACAGATGATTTTTTTCGCGAATAATTCCGCAATGGCCCCTCTCAAGTTTCTCTCTGATCGACGTTATCGACTGTCACATTAGCGCGGATCGAATTTTACCGAACTATAAAACCAACAATCCCCGGCGAAACGTCCGGATGACTCGAGAATGACGTTGGTTACCTTGGTGAATGCGTGAATGGCCTTATTGGCCTTTATTCTAGCGGTGCTGCTTCGAACGAGTGTCCTGTGACTCTTTTCACCCACGTGTTTAATTTTCTACGAACATTCAGAACGTCCGATCGAAAATCAACATGGTTGTGATTTTGTGGCTCCTTCTGCTCATTGGTGTCCTAGAATCCTTTGCCACGGAATGGAACACGCAGGACTATATGAAGCGAGAGCATTCTCTAATCAGGCCATATCAAGGTCCATTAATTATCATTTATCTCCTATCACGCTCCTTGGATAATCCTAAGATTTGCTTGTTCATTTATTATCTAATCGCAATTTGCGGAGATAATCCGTTATATTTGAAGATATATTTATGAGATATATTTACGAGACTAATTAATACGGAGAATTTACTTTTTTTGCATAGATAACGGCGGAAGAAATCTCTACGTGTTTCCTAACTCTGTTATAAAATTAGAAAATATACATAGGTCAGAGTCGATTTTTTTTTTCTTAAAAGAAACATGCGAACTCCAATTTTTTTAACGATAGATTTCTTTAAGAGAATCCTGTCACGCGCCAGCGTGGAAGAATTTACTGATTTATTATCTAATCACAATTCGCGAGTCATTCCACTACCGGTCTAAAATTACGACATAATTATATTGCAATAAGATTAGTAAATATGCATAAGTCAAAGAGCTATTTTTTTAAAAGCAATTTCTATTTTTATAAATTATAGATCTCTTCTGAAGATTAATAAATACTAATTAAAAGAATTTTTGTGCAATATGACATTTATAGTCAAATACGTTCAAAACTTACGCACTTTAAACGCAAATAATTAAAATTTATATTTTATTCTTTATTATTAGTTAATATTTTTATTTGATCCCTCTTTTTCGTCATAACTGTATTTTTTTTCCAAAACTAATTTATTTTTTACTGGCTCGAATTTGTAGCCAAAATTTTATTGCTACTAAGTTTTTTTTGCATTGTATTTAATAATATAGACTAGCTTTCTTCTAATCCTGGAGTCTAAATGTTAAAATTTATATATTATTTAGTCATGGAAAATTTTTCATTTTCATCTGGAAAACTCAGAGAATTTTAAAACTTGTTTTCTGTGGCAATCCTGAAATTAATTGTTTATAATTGATCACAAGTTTATTTATCAAATCTGTCTTTTATATATTTATATATAAATAAAATATATATTTATAATTGAATATTTTATTTATAAAATATGTTTGATATGACAGGCACAGGCATGACGATACCCAACTGGGACTTTATGGGAAGTACAATGGTAACTAACAATTATATCAGGTTAACACCTGATTTACAAAGTAAACAAGGTGCCTTATGGAATTCTGTGGCAAGTATTTCATTTATACTTTCGAATGATTTCTTAGACATATATGAAAACTTATATAAACTTTAATACAAAAACTGTATGTATATATATAATTATATATGTATATTGTTTATTAATTAACATTTTAAACTTGTCATATTTATAGCCATGCCATATACGAAATTGGGAACTGCAAATTCAATTCAAAGTACATGGAAATGGAAAGGATTTATTTGGAGATGGTTTTGCTATTTGGTATGCCAAGGAAAGAATGAAGTCAGGTCCAGTATTTGGGAGCCGAGATTATTTCCAAGGATTAGCAGTAATACTTGATACCTACAGCAATCATAATGGCCAACATAACGTAGGTTAAAAATACAGTTTTATAAAGTGTGATAGTTTGTACAATCAAGATCATGTAAATCAAGATCAATTAAGATCATGTAAATCTTTGAATATTTTTAATTAACCAGTTAATTACTATAATTAAATAAAATTTACATTTTTTTATATCTTAAATTTTTTTTAATTAAGTTTTTTTTTTATATTTGTCTTTATTTTTTACTTTATTCTATATTTTCTTTTGATACATAAATAATAGAATATATCTGCAACAGCATCAGCATCCTTACATCTCAGCAATGGTTAACAATGGATCTCTGCATTATGATCACGATCGTGATGGCACTCATACACAACTTGCAGGATGTGAAGCAAAATTCAGGAACTTGGAGTATGATACACACATATCTATAAGATACGAGAGAGACATTCTAACTGGTACGTAAAATTAAACATTAAATTTTATTGCATCTTTTATATCATGAATGTATCAGAAAATTGTTTATTAAGCTGTAATATTTTTTTTATTCTTATTCATCGTTTGTACTTTGTCCTGTCACGTTAAATGGAGTGTATCCATCCTTTATTTTCTATTTTCTTTTTCGTTTCAGCTTTATTAATCTTTTGATTTGTAAATGTGTGTGCGCATGCGCGTGTGTATACATACAATTACACATGTATGTGTGTTACTGATTAGAATTACACATATATCCTCATGTAGTATTTCTTATAATGTTTTTTTTTTCTTATCGCAATGAAGTTTCCACGGATCTTGCCAATAAAGCAGCATGGAAGCAATGTTTTCAAGTAAATGAAGTTAAGCTTCCAACAGGATATTATATTGGAATTTCTGCTACTACGGGTGATCTGTCTGACAATCATGACATATTGTCAATTCGTTTATTTGAATTAGACTTAATAGATGATGTAAGCATTAATTTTTTTATATTTTATTAAATATTATATTAATATATGCACATATCTTGTTAGCCAATAAAAATATAAACTGTTTATACATAAATATGATAGAGAACGCGAATAAGCGGTCAAAGTGTTTCGAATATAATACAATA